GCTAGTGCAAGGCGCCTCCTGAAGTGGGGAGTGGTTTCCCAGGCCGGTGTGAGCCAGTAGCCCAGCCATCTGAGTTTAGGTGATGGGTGAAAGGATGTGTTGTTGAGGTGGATGGGGGATAAAGCCACGGGGCGACGGTCCTGCGGGGTGCGCCAATGGGCGAGTTCGGTTTTGGAGATCGAAAACTCTACGCCCAGCTTGCGCGCCCGTTCCTGGACCAGGTAAAAGAAGTGCTGGAGCTCCATAAGCAAGATAATGACATATAATAATAATAATAAGACAGGTATTCCTCAAGGCTCTCCCATTTCACCAATCCTCTTCCTATTCTACTTGAAAAACTTGTTCAAGGACATGGAGCCAGGAGTTTTAACTCCACAGCTAAGAGCCCCCGTCTTTATTGATGATATTGCTTTTATAGTCACAGGCCCCTCTGCGCAGAGCAACTCCAAGGAATTGGAGGTGGTAGCCAGAAGGGCCTTGAGTTGGGCAGCTAACAATGTAATAGTATTTGATGATCCCAAGACAGAACTGATGCATTTTCACAACAAAACCAATGACCTTACTACCAACTCCCTTGTCACTCTTCCTCATGGTACTATTATCTACCCTTCTCAGCACCTCAGATGTCTAGGAGTTTGGCTTGACAGGAAGCTTTTGTTTAACTGCCATGTTCAGCAGAAGACCGCAGCAGCAACTAGGGCACTTAACATGATTTCTAGACTATCCAACTCAGGATAGGGTCTCTCAGCAACAGCAATGAGGCAACTATACTACACCTACATTACCCCAATAGCTGACTATAGAGCAGAGGTCTGGTGGAAAGGTCAAATTGCTCTTACTAACAAATTACAGAAGTTGCAGGCAGAGGCAAACAGAAGAATCCTAGGAGCTTTCAGAACTTCACCTACTGCTGCAATGGAGATCAAAGCAGCCACCCTTCCTGTTCCTTTGAGACTTGACAGACAGTGTAAGAGATATGCTTACAGAGTTTTACAGATGCTTTCAGACCATCCTATCAGGCAGAGAACATCTAGCTCATTCCCCAGCACCATTACCTCAGCTCTTCCACCAGACAGACCATGCTCCTCCTCCTCTGAGAGTGATATATCTTGGACTTCTACCTACAAACAACATAAGAGAAAATGCTTGTGGGATCCACAGCATGAGCCATATGGCAAGATGCAGGTTGATTGAAGGAAAACTGACTCTGAGCCAGGTAAGTTCCCTACCCAACTGATAAGAGTATTAAATTCACTAAGTTCACTCCTGCCTGTAGGACTAGAGGTTGAACAGTATTACCCATACCTGCAACCCCCCTGGGATACCCACCTACCTGACACCACCTCCAGACTTGATATCACTATGAGCCAGGAAGACAAAGACCCTGCAGCTAAAAGTCATATCATTCTCCTCAACACCCTTAACCCTTCAGAAAACCTCGTTCTCTATACAGATCGAAGTGAATTGCAGAGTGGAGGAGTAGGAGCAGGAGTGGTGATGATGCATGTTGGTGGGATTGTTGGGAGATAGACAGTTGGATTAGGATTTGGGATGAAGAAGGTGTATAGTGGGGAATTGGTAGGTATTGCGAGAGCACTCACAGAAGCCAGCAGGTCCAGCCTATCCTTCAAGCACATCTGGGTTTTCACAGACAACCAAGCAGCAATCACCAACTCCCACAGACTTTCTCCCCACCCTGGACAACAAATTTCTCAACAGATTCAACAACTCACAAAAGACCTTCTATCCTCTGACCTGGACTTACAGCTTCATCTCCATTGGGTACCTGGCCACACTGGTATCCAAGGTAATGATGATGCTAACACTCTGGCAAAATAAGCACCTGAGTATCCCCAACCTGATATAGACAGTTATCTCTTACCGACCAAATTGAAGACACAGATCAAGCAGTCTGCCCTTAAAGCATGGCACCAGTACTGGACACAGTTACAACCAGCTAAGCAGGGCAGACATTATAGGTCCATCCACTTCCACCTACCTTCTCTGCATCCTCCACCATACTTCTATCAACTCTCCAGACGACAACTTGCAACTGTCACCCAACTTAGACTTGGGCATGGCTACTTCAACTCTTATCTTAGCAGATTGGATGAGAATGTCAGTGACAGATGCAGTTGTAGCAAAAGGACACCAGCACCAGAGACACCAGAACACCTGATCCTATACTGCAGCAGATACCAACAGCATAGAGACCTTTTAAGATCAGTTGCTCAACACTTCCACCTCCCAGATGGGGTTGGATCTAATACTGGACTGCTGGCTTCAAGAGATTTTGTGAGAAAGAGTTGGGTTGGAACTAGGAGAGGGCACCTTGGACAAGTGCCAGAGTGTGAGGGCTCTGGCAATAGAAGTAGTGGGGTGGAGGATAGAAGTTGGGAAGAGGAGGATGGAGGACAGAGATATGGATGGGAGGAGACGGAGGTGGAGAGATGGAGAGAATAGAGGATGGCAGCAGGCCAGGTGGAGGAATAGAATGAAATTGGATGGCAGAAGGCCCAGTGAACAGGGGACACAATGATGGAGGATTATTATTATTATTATATGTGATTATCTCGCTTATGGAGCCATCCTCCGTCTCCGTTACAACTCCGGTCATTGAAATTTATTTCCTAATTGGGAACGACTCAACACCAGGAAACTATCACCACTTTTT